AAAAATGTGTGAGAAAATGATGGTTTAAATTCTACTAAAATTCTATGTTATAATTAAAAGTAATTTTGTAAAAAATTCTACAAATATACTTCAAGTTTTTCTTATAAAAGTCTAAGCTAACGTTACTTTGGTAAATATTAAAAAAAATATATATATAAAACTGTAAACATATAATATTAAAGCCATAAAATGTGATGAATAATACTTCAGAAATACGGAAGAAAACGAAATTTGTTTCGCAAAATAAAACACTACAAAATACTTTGAAATGAAATATACATTTTAATAACAGTATTTACATTTTTTCCGCAATTTTTAATGTTAACTATATTGTGTTTCGTTTATTAAAATCTTGTTTTTAAAAAATACCGTATTATTTTTAACTTAATATTATATTTTATGTTTGCATCATTTATTCATTTATTCGCATCAGATACCTGTGGTAAATAAATTATACTACATAGTGTTTATAAAAATAAAAAATTACACTATATTATCAGTATCAAATATGTGAAATTTAAATTCAATCTCAGGACAAATCAAAATTTCGAAACGCATGTAGTGACCATGGTAAATAAGCTATTACAACATCAATCTTGGAATGAAATAAAACGTGTAAATCACGATCATCAACTATATTTTTATATGTAAAACGCCAAAAGAAGCGACAACCACAAAAACACAATAAAAATAGTATTTATATGAATAAATCCAATTTGTCTTCCGGAACAATTCGAACTGGTTCAATTTTATCACATACATTTATAGATATTTATGTTTTAACACTGTTGTATTAATCGTTTTTAAAGATTGAAAAATTACAAATAGTTGATATTATATCATCAGAGATAATTCACTCGTATATTTATTTAATTCAAATAACGATACATTGAAACAACAAAGTAAGTAATATTATAGATTAGATATATAATTAATCATTATATATTTAATCTATGGTAATATATAGGTATCTACTTAAAATATACATAGCATTTAGGAACCTATTCATATCAATAGTATGACAGTGATTTACCTATAAGTTCTATTCATGATTCATTGCTTATGTAAATGTGTACATGTCTTTAGATATCTAAACCTTCAAACGTTATTTAATTAGCTTGGATGCGTGTTTGTTTTTCTTATTTATTGCCATTACCACAATCAAACAGATGTTGAGGTGTAATTAGTCATTTCCTAAAATGTTCTACGTACTATTTTAAAAGAACCTACATATTACATAATCAGATTCAATATATTGACAAGAACAAATACTAAAATTGCAAAGTGAAATTCGATTCGAACTTTAAAAATGGAACTATTAAGTTATTAATTAGTCTGACGTTCACAAAAATAAAAATTTTGCAAATAAAATGATGGTAAATAACTCCAGAAATCCAGATTACTGAGTAATAAATATATTTAGATTGATCGCATGTCAAAAACAAACCCTCCTTAATACATTACTTTGAGTAATCGGTGCCGACTTACGGTTTAGTAAAGTGATAATACTGGTGTGTTATAATATCAAAGTCATCCGTTTTACCTTCCAGGTTTCTAATTAAATATGTACAATTTAAAAAAAACACACATTAACTGCGAATAGTGTACACACAACAAAATTAAATTTAAGCTATAACCTAATAGTTGGTAACCTTTACTCGCACTATAATTTATAATATAGTGTTGTGCTTAAACTCAGGTAAATGGAAGTTTAAAGACTTACAGTGTAATTGGCTTACAATTTCCACGCACCAATATTATCGGCATACTACGGCCGTATAAAAGGAACATCGCTTCTATCTTGTACAATTGGAATGCATTTGAGATAATTGCAAAATTTGCCAAAAGATATTTTAAAACAAAACCATCCAGGCTCACGCTTGAACAACGTAGTTGGTTAAGTTAACCTACATAACATGCTCATAACTGTTAACGTTTTATTGGAGAATTTAAGCTTGTTACGCGGCTAAACCGAAATTTATTATAATCACATATTGTACATTTATACTTCACACAAACACGCTAACACATACTGATGATACCCCATGACGTGTATGCAAGTTCTCTGCGTATCTATGGACCACTATTGGAACATTATGTATTGTTCGTTAATTCTACAGAGATTTAAAATAATTTACAATTAAACTTAACATAATGGGTTGACAAAAAAAAAAAAAAACATAAAAAATCCGAACGCAGAGTGCATCCGGTTAAAATTTAAAAACATTATTTAGTAAAAGGTTATTTGTAACCGGATATTCAAATGCGTATGGATTATCTACCACATGAACAGTAAAAGTTTGATAGCGTATAAAATTCAAAGTACCCGTATACACATAAAAGGAAAAAAATGAATAAACCATCGTATATTATCGACACGAAAGCAAAATATTCGAAGTTTGCATATTATTCGGTCGATAAAATATCCGGCAAAGATTTCATTCGATTTCTATCGTTTTGTTTTCGTTTAATATGCAATATTATTGCTTTTACGGTACACGCACGTTCAATACTACCTATTTAGGTGGGTACATTCAAACGTTTCGTACGGCAAATTAAAATTAAAACGTTTGAAAAACGTATGTTTACAATGAACGCACGCCGGCGTTTCAGATCGTACACGCACATGGAAAAATTAAAATTGTCGTTTTTATCGCGTACTACTAGGAACGTACCGATGCGCGTTATCGGTATTTTTATTTTGCCGTCACAGGACGTGTACACAGGGTAAACGGTCTTACGAGTCGTCGTCGATCGACATTGATGTTTGACGAAACGCGGACTGCACCGGGGCAACGCGCGTTCTCGCCATTGTAACGTAATTGTCGTACGACATTATAACCGACGTTAATGTTCCATAATCGAAACGTTTCACGACGAAACCGTTTTACAGCGGTGATTTTCGCGTCACCTATTTACGCCGCAATATTTTCCAAAACAATACACGCGTCCGTTGCTTGACGGCCAATAATAGTAATAATAATAATCAACGTGGAGTAAATGTCACCACACCATTGTGTCGAGTGTCGGGGAGACGTGTATATGCGTGAGGTTTGAAACGAACGATTCAGACGAAACTCAACAACGTGACGGTAGGCAATAGAAAAATTAAATACATATGGAGAGAGAAAAAAGCGAAATCCAACGAACATCGTCATTGTAATATTTGGACACTGTATATATTTACGACACAATATGTTTACAATGCGTCATCGCCCGTCATCGAACGTACGGTACACATCGATATTATGATAATCACACGCGAAACGAGCTGACCTCGCGACCGTCGTCCGGGGAAAACTGTTCGACACGATCAACACTGATCCACTGTCAGGAGCACGGAAAACATTGGTATTGTGACGTTTCGGTCGACGAGCTCGTGCGAACATGATCCTGACGGTAAAGGCTAGATTATGATCATGATATAAGAGTTTTTTATATAGGTATGTACTATTATTTTTGTTGAGACCCTTTGCGAGTTTAACACGGCAAGTGACGACCCCTATAATTGTGTGTCGGTAATAAGTCCATTTTCATACGGTATATATTTGAAAGTTATAATGTTTTATTTATTCGATGTTATTTTTATAAAAAAAAAAAATTAAAAATCGAGTTCACACATTGTGGCCTTTTGATATTTTTATGATAATCGGGTGTCGCGCAGTTATCGGGACGAAGAGTACTTTTCCACAGATACAACATCATGAACTGATGCTAGGTAAATCCGCGCTTCCCTCCCTGCACACTCAACCCACAGACAGATGGTCACCGGAATACGTGTCAAACGGGAACTTGTGTGTGTACCTTGAAAACATAATTTTCTCCGTTTCTCCTCAACGGTATACCATTGAAAATAGCAGATAAATTAGTTTTTATTCAACCGGTGAAGAAGTACACATTTTGACAGTTGTATACCACGTATTTTTGCATACTTTTAGGATTCTATTTTGTTGGCCCTCTGGCGCAAACCTCGGTTTACGTGTATTACATTTAATTTATATCTAGTTTTTCATAAACCTCGTAATTGAAATTGTAGGGGGAAAATTAGCAAGTACAAGAACAGTCCTTATATTAATGTCCGTTTCATTAAAGTTGTATAACATGTACTTATTTACAAATACATAACACACAATGACCACAATTATTGTTTTTAAATTTTATAGTTTATGAGAAGAAAATCGTTTTGAATAAGTATCGCTTTTTCAGTGTTTTTCACGTTTGCGTTATCTCGCGTATTTTAGTATCATTTCGCGCTATAAGATCTCTTGCAATAATGGATCGTATTAACACAATTTATAAATCGGTATTTATACATTGTTACGGTGCGTAACGAACGGATATGGGAGACGGATTTGAAATTGCGTTCGCGAGTGACGCGGGTGGACGGTGGAGACTAGCCGCCGAGAATCGCGTAAAACCTGTACCAAACCGCCATTTCCTCCGGCGGCGGCGGCGGCCTGGAATGTACATTATATGCATGATACGAAATCGAACAACATGCCAACGGACAACCGAGTCGCTTCACAAACTCGACGAGACCGGCGCGCGACCCGACCGACCGGAATATACGTCGAATTCCAAATAACGTTCGAAATAAACGCGACGTTGTAGCACATAGTGGATATGCCTTTCGTAACTATTGTTTTACGCGTGAAATAATGCGTCAATTATTCGTCATCGTTGAGACCGGATCCCGTTCATCTGTCGGACGGACGTAACTATTGGGACGATAGGGGCTGATGAGACCGGGAAGGACGGTACTCGAAACGGTTACACACAGCCGTAAGAAATTAGGACGGGTCGGTTGGGAATCGTGACGAATTCGATACATTCGGGAAGTCGTGATCAGGGATCGCGATCCCGGTTCCGGTGGTAAAAGTGCATACCGTTTCGAGGCAGCCGTGCCGTTATCACCGCGCGCGATATCAGCGCTATCGGTGTCATCAGTACAAGGTAATGATAATAATAATAATGATTGTGAACATACAATCGGTTCTCACCTGACCGATGTCCGCAGCGGCCGCGTTCATGTTTCGTCCGGCGGTTGGCTGCAGATGAAAACACCATGACAGTGACCGTGTTCGAGTGTATCGGCACGCACACGAAGAACGGGAAGTGGCGACGCGTGGGATAATGAAGTACAAGGACAAGGACGCCGGAATAAGAGACTGTGGAGTCGAAGGGACTCCGAAGGGGACCACGGGATAAAGAACGGCGCGAACCGTTTTTCGTTCGTTGTATTCTAACCGCACCACCACCGCTGGACCGCGGTTGCCGCGATGGCGAACGGAAATCACGGAGAAGCGCGCGCGCGTCGTGTCGCGTTTTGGGACGCACTCGGCCGGTTCTGGGTAGCGACTGTTGATGCGCACACGCGTACCCGCGCGCTCCGCGGCCAGTCCAACGTCGCCGCCGCCGTAACCAGTCCCTCTCGGCCGTTTACACGCGTTCGCGCACCGATGCGAGAGCGTGCGCGCGCATTCACGCGCACGCGCACGCGCACCCGCGCACGGCACCTGCACATTCACAATGCGATCGGTACGTACACCCGCGCGCGTAACTACCGGCGGCATTCAGGCTGTTCCCAATCTGCGGCCCGACGGAACGAACCCGACATAGGATGTCCCACGAAGATTCACCGCGATAATTGTCGCAGTTATTGTCTCCTACACTATAACATTACATCCGATCCTACTCGCCAAGTGCGTTGCGTTTTGGTTTTTTATCCTTCCGAACGAGCGCGAAATAGGTTTCAGCTGACGATCATTTTTTTTTTCTAATTTCTAGCTCTGTTGCTTCCGTAAACATTTGAGGCGGTCGATTCGTGCCTTTCTGGAAATTCTGGAGGTCCGACTACCACTGGTTCATGTAACACTTCCAGAAATCTTGTATCTATACATATACATTTTTTTTTTTTTAATTCTCGAAACTTTAATACTCATCGTAACATTAAACTTAAGTTTTTCTTTCCTGAGAAGTGTTCGTCCGTCACCCGATTTATTTCTTCCCGAATACCCATCTCATGCAGCTCATTGTTTTTCTCTGGGATAGATAAAAATATCTTTAAAAAAGAAAAACGATTACAAACTTGATTTATTATAATTTAACAATCGAAACGTCAACATTTCCAAAAAAATAAACCCTATAAAATAGCTATCAACGTAAGAGATTGTTTTACTTTTTACTTTAACATTTTAATTAAAAAAAATAAAAATAAATATTATTTAATAATCTCCGGTTGTGTTTTTTATTGAAAAATGAATACGATTCAACCATCTTTAATGATGCACATTCTATCGCAATTACTAAGTTTTCGTGGGTCACCCTGTATACATATTATGTATGTGTGCAATAGTAACCGTTAGTATAGTGCGTGTACGTTTATGAATACACGTGTGTACCTACGTTATTATATTATATACATATACTTTTTATAAATAAGTCAATAGTATACACAAACATACGCATTTGTATATATACTAGATGTATACATGTTGTGTACACATATATATATATATATATATATATATATATATATGTACATGAGTAATAATGTGTACATCGAACATCGAGTACATTCTTCGATGGTATTCCTCTTTAGGACAGAGAGTGCGCGCGCACGTGTTCGTATGTATGTGTGTACGCGTGTGGTGTACATTGTAACGCGTTTATTAAACTCAATATTTTTACGTACGTGCGTGTGCATCGTCTAAGACATTAGTAGATATGCGTATATTTTAGAGCGACCTTGATTAGTTTTTGCTCCATCGATCAACCTATAAAGGATGTGTGTAATAACAATAACAGTTATGTACACGTCAAAGACACTCTTGCACGTCAGCCGTTTTTTGTTATTTTTTTTTTTTTTAACCCAACAGGTACTTTACTACTTTCTCGTTTGGTACCGTGAGCGTGAGTAAAAAAAAAAGAGAAAAAAGAAAACACTTTAGCTGGAACAAGAAAAACAATAATATTGAATTGCGCAGTGTAAATAACGTTTATGCGTAAAAATGTAAGTACGTCATGCTGTCCTGGTTGCCGTAATAAACAGCTGGTGTATTTTTTGTTATAATGTATCCTAGGAGTTGATCGAATACCAAAAACGCCTGATCGTATAGGGGGCCCCTATCAAGTAGTCAAATTAATTTATCTGCACTACAATCGGTTAAGTTCATTTCCACTCCTTCGTTAGAAAGAATTAAAATATGTATCTATACATATAAATATCCTGCTAACTTATTTGGGAGCTGTCAGATACGACTAACGAACAACAACCGTCCATTTTTAATTTATTAGGTATTATATTAGTACAGGTATTACTGGTTTTAAGTTTAACGGATAACATAATACTATTTCTATTACGTCTATTATAAATAAATAAATAATAGTAATACTATGCATAATGGTATGTATAAGTACCAAAAAAATGCATGTAATTTGAGATCGTCAAAATAAATCGGTTACTTGTGATTTGATTTTCAAACAAGTGCATTATTATTGTACTTGATTTAACTCTGCTAACGAATGTACTTTCTTTTCGCAATATTTTAAAAAATATAGTTTTATGTTTATGAACTTATTGCGGTTTATGTAGACGTTGAATGTATTAATGTAACATTTAAATTGAGTCGTCGTGCTTACTAAAATAATATAGTAACGTAATATTATACAGAATGACAGCCACCATGTTTTCCCGTTTTTATATTCTAAATATATTATTGTACTATATTTTATGCGATTTAAAATCTATGGTTTTATGATAGAAAAATATTTACTTAAATTTTTTTTTTTTTTTGTTGCTTCTATTCAAATTCCGCACACAAAACGATAAAACATAAACGAATCATAGTTTACTGTACAAAACATTTTAATATTTTGAATAATATTATTTAAATAATAAATTGTTCTCATTTATCTCACAAATTTTACGGAATGAAAAATTGTATTTTTTTTTGTTAGAACTAATCATTTTATTTATCATGCTTATGATATATGACTTGGATTACGTTTTCTTTTTCGTAGATATTCCGTTTGTACACATATACACACGCCTATTCATATACATAAGTGCATTATATTTGAAAGGAGTAATTTATATTGTTATTATATGAGTTATATAAATTTAAATGAAATCAGTGCGATTCTAATCTGTACCCGACAGGTTTACATTTTTTCTTCTAGTTTGCGTGTACACAGAAAAACTTTTTCGTAAACGCACGATTCGGTTTCGTTTCAAAACAACAATAAAAATAGTATATTGAAAAATCTTGATCGGAATAATTACGAGGTTAATATACAAAAATTATGAAGTTTCATTTTTATATAGTATTTATCTATTACGATGATTCATCATTACTCAACGGTTACCTGTACATCATGTAGAAGTCAAGGACATACTTGAACACAATTGCATTCTTATCGATTAGCAAGTACAGATGTATAGTATTACTATATATAGAAGGTTGTTGTGACGTATTAAAATCAGAACATTACCAATTTTGAAATGGCGATCGACTGAAAATGAAACATCTCGATATTGAAATAGGTAAATAGGAGTGCGAACGAATAACATTCGGACGTTAAACTGTTTTTTACTGTAAACGTGTATCGAGCATACGTACGTTTTGTGATGGGTTGTGCTGCGTGGTTGCCAAAAAAATAACGTTCCATATTTGATATTTTGTCGTATTGCGTCCATCACCACTTCATCTGGCTAACGTAAGCCGAATAATAAATTATGTTCGCAGCATGACCTAATATTCAAATTACGTCGACGTCGAGTACAACAACTCGTGATTTTATTTCTCGATCTTGTGTACGAAAAACATTACGTGTTATGTGCTTTGTCTTTGTATTTCTACGATAATATTATACGTATCTGCACCGACCTAAGCGCAGTACCGACTGAAATCCTCAGTCTGTTTCTTTTTAGATTAACGGAGAAGGAGAATAAAAACTCAAATTAACTATTCGCAATGTCTGAATACATTATTAACGATGTTATTCACATCAGCAACGGAATACGCGCGAAATCCATACCGTATTTTAAACATCCTACACGCGCACTTGTCCCACGATTTCCACTCCTTCCATGCCACACGTGTGCACGTGCGGAAAAAAATTAAAAAAATGGACTCATAAACGGAATAGTGTACGAACGCAACACATTTTTAGACGTTAATCACGTGTTGCAGTTATCCGCGTTTATCAATAAACAGATTTCGATTAGTGGGCAAATAAAATTAACAATATTCAGTGGCGTGCGCAGGAATTTGGTATAGAGGGAGGTATGTCATACATAAAAATGTATAAAATATATTTTCAATCTTTATTTTTTAATATTATACAAAAAAAAAAATTCAATCAAGGCGGAAACTCGTCCTTCTAACTTTTGCACTATATTCATCAATAATTTGTTCTGTAGGTAATGGAATGTCTCGATGTATGTTCATTAACTCAATCTATTTAACTGATGACCACCCCACCGAATTTTTTAAATACGGTTTTAAACGTTTAAGACTAAAAAACAAAAAATATCCCATGTGAGGGGGATATATCCCCCCTCCCCCCCCCCCCCTCTTGTGCATGCCACTGAAAATATTATATGTAGGTACTTCGTGCGCGTAAGCGGTCTTTGTTTCCGAGCCACCGAACTCGATATTCGTCCTACGGGTTCCGTAATCGCAGCACACCTGGTCGCATTCGCTTCGCGTACATCTATAAAATACGTGATTCTTCGTGCACTCCGTATTCAATTTTCAACGGAATTCAAATATTTTATTGATACAACACATACCGCAGTCCGTATCATAGTACGAGAATGTAACGTTGACGGACAGAAATTTATCACCCGCGGGCCACTGGAACGGATATAATATTGGACTACGATTAAGATATAACCTGTTATTATATGTGCGCGCACCTAGAGCCGCTTTGGATGTATTATATACATCCGGGGACGGCTGTGACCTGCACCTCCACGTCTTGGCCGGCATTGTCGTAGCGATCGATTTGAACCCATTTTCTGGAATTTACGAGTAGGCGCGATCGTCGGACAGTGTGCACCGCTCACTCCGTGTACGAAAATAACACGTACCTACCGCTGTAGTTGAACAGTTTTGTGATTATATTTTATTTTTTCGGCTGACAACGTTTCGGCCGAATACGATGCATATCGCGAACTGCAGAGCAAATAGATAACACCATGGCAATGTTTTTATTATTATTATCATTACAATTTTCGTCGGACCTTCGATTTCTATTCATTTAGTACCTAACTCACACGAAAAACTACAACAGACCACATATTCATAATAAGTAGCTTCGTTTTCGGTTACTATTACAACTTACGTATCTGAAATGCGGCGATTCGTATACTTTTTTTTACGTAGGTAAGTACCGA